TTCCATTTATTGTTATGAGTGTGAGAGAGAGAAAGAAATAGAGAGAGAGGGAGAGGGGGGGGCGGGGACTACTCTAGAGAGAGAGAGAGAGAGAGAGAGAGAGTTTTGTTCCGTTTGTTAATACGCGCGCGCGCGCGCGAGAGAGAGAGAGAGAGAGAGAGAGAGAGAGAGAGAGAGAGAGAGAGAGACTGAATGGCAAAATTAAATATGGGTCAAATTGCAGCCGCGATTGATTTTGCAGTTGGAATGAGTTTTTTTAAATTTATTGGCCCAGGCATGGCTGAGTGGCAAAAATGGAAAATGTGTCGAATCGGTGCGACGATTATTTCGTAGTGTGAATGATTTTTTTAAAATGTTCTATTATTATTTCTGGAAAGAACACGACCTCATCTATGGATTCTTAAAATTTCAGATTTTGAAGGGGCGACGCGGAACGCAGCGGCCGGCGCCAAGCGCTCTGCCCTAGCGGTTCGGATCCGGTAACACGGCCCGACGATCGCCCGGGACGCTACCAACGAGATAGCACCTCGGGAATTCCGACACTTACCGATGAAGCGGGCTGAACAGCTATGGTGAGGACTTACGTCCCCGCCTAGCTGATTGTCGTACGATCGACCTCGTCGCCTACCAACAAGACGTAGAGACTACCAAGGCGTTCGCGAGAGTCAACGAGTAGGAATCAGGTGTTCGAGAGGTCCGGGTTAGGCCTCATCTCAAGAGTGAGTTGACAATGGAAGATGCCGAGGATGTAGGAGGAGATAGAACGAATGGGCGCTCACCACCTGCAGCACCGCCGGAACAACGGGACTATTGGGAGGACGAGGAACGCATAAGGTCGTTGCTGGAGTTATGCTTCAATGACGGAGTATACCCCACGGACCTTAATCCAGGGGAGATGCCAGTTCAAGGACGAGAGGCGAAATTCAAGCTAAACAACTCCTTGGACGAGATCAAGATCAAGTGGCTAAAAGAGAGAACGGTTTCAGTCATCTTCAAGGAGAATGCGAGATTCCTACCAAGAAGGATTAAGGACGATACTATTCGAGCGTTTGAAGATGGATGGGTACTGGGCAACGATCGTTTCCCCTTAGAATCGCGTAGTTGCAGAGTGAAAATCGAAGGGCCTAACGCCCTCTCATATGTGGCAAGAACGCGTGAAGTGGCAAAGTTTATGTTGAGCGAGGTAGGTGTGGACATCCCGATGGGACCAGTGGCCTACAAAATTCAATTCAAGCCCTGGATGACCAAGGCTGAATTCAGGGAGCTGTGAAGACAGGAGGACGACCGAACGTTCTGGGTTATTGCGGTCCAAGTGCCACTAGACGATATGCCATTCATATACGCGCAGATTGAGCGAGCAGTCGGGAGGATAATACTGGCACATCCTCCAGATGTGGATCCGTCTAGACCGGCTCTAGTCAACTCGCGCTTTGACGTGGACCCGGAGGCGAGAGGGAACATGAAGGATAAGTTATGGATTATAACGTCGAAGGGAGATGAACTCGAAGTCAAGCTCGCATGTGCCTCAACCCCGAAGTGCCGTATCTGCAAGCAGTTCTTCCATGTTGATACGGAGTGTAGAAGAGGAGGAGGGCAACAAAGCTCGACGCAGACCGGCACCGGAAGGCAAAGGGAGCGGAGACCTTCGTACAGCGTCCCCTTGGGGCCTTGCCCCTCGCAGAATGCTAACGGAGGAAATCCTCCAGTAGGGATTCCGGCAGGAGCCACGTCAACTAACAATCCAGTCTTCTCGCCAAACGCACCCCAGCAGCCTTCATCAACGTTCAATATGATGCAACTAGCAGCGGCGTTGTATGGAGCTCCCGCTATGGGACCGAACTTGCAACTAGGAGGGAACTGGATGCAGCAGGCTCAGCTATTTGGTTCCCTAAATGGCGGTCTCCCGTTTCAAGGAGTAAATATGGGGGCAGGAGGCTTTGGAATGGCCGGCCCGTCGGCCTTTCAGCGGTACCAGCCAGGCCAGGTACCCTGGGCCGCACAACCGTAAGGGCAGACATCCGGTGCAGGCTTCAATCTCCCGGGAGGAGGAGGTGGTTTATCACGCGAACCATCTGGAGCAGCGCTCAGCAAAGGCGGCCACGGCTTCGTCACGCCGATCTCAACGCCACTTAGAGAGAGGGGGGAAACCTCGGAGGCATCACAAGCGCAGGGAGGGGGTGAAAGGAACAACGCGATGGGGGGGTCCCTAGCACCAAGGATGGTGGAAGATGCCCAGAATCGACTACGCCCTGTCGGAAAACAGAGAAGACTTAGTATGAGCTCGGTGAAGGAGCTCAGAGCGGAAGCGTCGGAGGAATCTTCAGCGCATACTCCACCAACAAGCACCACCAATGCGACCCTGGGACAGAAGACCACCAGAGACAGGAGACTCACGTCCATTGCTAGAGGTCAAGGGGCAGAGCTTGAGCAGATCCTTGCACCACTGGTATGCACATTCGTAAGAAACGGTTGGTGGGCGATGATGTGGCAAACTGCCACACACCCACTCACCTACCTCTCGCAACAGGTAAACGATGTTCCCACACCTCTCACGATTGCCCAAATCCTGAAGACTCTCTTTTTGGAGTATTTCCCGTTGAGAGTAATCCCTGATTGCCCGATGGCGAGAATTATCACAAATCTGCAGGGACAGAAGATTAAACTCTTCGTCCCGTTAGTGGATGCCAGATTCTCCCCGGATTCTCTTGTCCGCTTAGAGGGTTTGGGACTGAGACTAGTGCCCCTCACGTGGTTTGCAAAAGGAAGGAAGCATGATTTGAGTAGGATTGTCATAGGTCCTAGGCTTTCAGCGGTGTGCTTGGCGGAGCTGAAGATCGGACTCCACAAAGATAAAAGATTGGATTCACAGTTCGTCAAAAATGCCCTCACGAAAGCATGGTCTGAGAGGGAGGATCAGACGGCAAATGGGCAATCGAAGACGGGTACTTCCCACATCCAACCAACAGGGGGAATCATAATAGATGGTTAGACTGAGTATTGCCTCCTGGAATGTGTGTGGGCTGGGGGACACAGGGGGAAGAGGAAAGAAGGCTAGGTTAAAGAAAGGGATTCACGAAAACCACGTTTCCATAACCTGTTTGCAGGAAACCAAGTTGAACAAAGAGAAAATTCAGAAACTTGGAAGGTGGTGGGACAAGCATCATGTCTGGTCACCAGCCAGGGGCTCAAGTGGAGGAGTTTCAATCTTACTCCACAGAAATGCAGGGGTGGAATCTATAGATCATTACGCAGATTTGTGGGGTATATGGGCGTGGTTGAAGATAGGGGTTGAATAGGAAGATTGGGTGATCGCCACAGTCTACGCACCGGTTAACAGGAAAGAGAGGGCATGTTTTTTGAAAGATTTGTTGTTCTGCTTGCCGAATGTTGATAATGTAATTGTTGTGGGGGACTGGAACCAAAAAGCTGGATGAAAATAGGGAACTAAGAGGGAGAGACTTAGCAAAAGCGATTATTCCTGTTGCTGATTTAATGTCAGACTTGCACCTATTCGATCCGTTTAGATTACTCTACCCGTCTGACAGAGGGTACACTTGGTTCTCGAATCAAGGGAAGGGGAGGAGATTGGATTATTTTTTGGTGAATGAGAGAGGGATAAAGACACTCCTCAGAGTTAGTACTCAGAGCCAAACCCTGTCAGACCATTCACCGATCATTGGTGAGTTCAATCTTGGGGAAGACCACTCCTTTGGGAAAGGATACTTCCGGTTAAATACGAAAAATCTGAAGGACCCATACTTAAGGGACTGGGTTTCTGGGTTTTGGGAAAGATGGACTCGTAGGAAGGAACAATTCGCATCATTGTCAGACTGGTGGGAAGTGGGTTCGAAGATTCTGTCGAACCTGTTAAATGTGTTTTCCAAAGTGAAGGCATCAAAAAGGAATAAGGAAGAGGATAGGTGCAAGAAAATAGTGAAATATGCAGAACAGCGAATGAAAGAACATCCCATCTCAGAGGTGGTTTGGGGAAAGGAACGGGCAAAGAGGCTAGCAGAATGGGACCGCCTGCAACAAGCGAAGGCGGAAGTTTGGTCAGAAAGACTTAAGATAAAAGGCATTGTAGTGTATGACAGGATGACAAAAGAATCCTTTCAGAAACTACTACCGAGAAGAACACCGAACCCGATGAAAGAATTGAAACATCACTTTTGTGACACGGAACCGAAGGCGTCTACACCGCAAGGACTCTGCTCTTATGCTGCCTGTTACTATCAGGATATTCTTACTTTAGGAAGACAGGAGGAGGGTCCAAACTCTGACTTAACGGTCAATAACAATCACTGGTTAAACCTCCAAGTGCGACTCCCCCAACAGGGCCACCTTGACTTAGATAGACCTATCTCAGTAGAAGAGGCGAAGCAAACGCTAAGTGAGATGGCCAAAGGGAAGGTACCAGGAGACGATGGTCTGCCGGTGGAATTCTACTCCACCTTTTGGGCCGTGATGGGAGAAAACTTAGTTAACATTTATAATGATATCCTGCTTGAGGGATACCTCCCGAGGAACGCATGCAACGAAATTATCTTCGTGCTTTTTAAGAAGGGGGATAAAAGCGAGATTCGAAACTAGAGACCTATATCTCTGATAAATGTTGCATATAAGATTCTCGCTAAGGTCCTAGCTAGAAGGGTAGCCAGATACCTACCGGATTTGATTCTAGATGACCAGGCAGCATTCGTCAAAGGTAGGTCTATCTTCATAAATATCATCACGGCCATAGAGGCTATGGAAACCATTCAGGAGTCCAATCTGGATATTGCGGTATTGCTTGTTGAGATGGAAAAGGCATATGACCGGGTAAACTGGTCATATGTCCTTACCACGCTCAGGTGGATAGGGTTCGGAGAGAATTTTTGTAAATGGGTGATTGGGATGTATTCATGTTCAACGACTTCATTCATGATCAACGGTCACTTTTCCAACTCGTTCAAGCTGTCCAGGTCCTTGCGACAGGGGTGTCCGCTGGATCCCCTCCTTTTTGTAGTTCAGTTGGAAACTGTATTGAGCAACATTAGAGCCCACAGGGAGATTCAGGGTATTAGAGCAGGCTCCAGGGACCGCAGAGTTAAGGCTCTTGCAGACGACCTGTTCACAGTAGTGGAGAATACAATCAATGCCATGACTGCCTTGAGAGCCTGCCTGAGGGACTACGAGGAGCTGTCGAAAGCAGCAATTAATTGGGCAAAGTCAACGTATCTGCTCCCGAGCTCGCACTCCTTAAAGGTGCAATGGGGTATGAAGCGGTTGGAGGAAAACCACTCGGAACGCTTCTTAGGCGTACAAGTGGCTCTGCTCTCCTGCGCGGCTGACCAGGATGAGATACTTCAACAAAAGGTCATGCAAAGACTAACAACGTGGGATAAAGCCCCACACCTGTCACTCCTGGGTAGGGCGCAGTCGGACCAAATACCCTTACAAGGGTATTTGGCCATTCTTTTGCATTCGACACAGTGACAGCGTCGGCTACCATGATGGAGCCAATGTGGAAAAAGAAAGGGTGTGCACACTTGAGCGTGACACTCGAAAACAAATTCCTCGGCCAATTAGGTCGGGATGAAGCGGTGAGAAAATTTCGATAAGTATGCGCGCGCGTTACTTTGACGTGCGCTCTGATGGTTAGAGTCGGTACTAATACCCTTCGACCGAAGAGGTCAAGGGTCGATTGGGTTAAGTGTTATGTCGGGTAAACCTACAACCTACACCGTGACGGAGGCTTAAGCATCCGTACGATAGCCAAGTTAAAATTAATATACGCCCCGACCGTACGGGCGGAGCGATTAGAAATGAGTGATCGTCAGATTGAGGTGGCACCCTGGAGTGCTAAGAGCTTGGCTCAAGCAGGTATACCACGGGTAGGACTGAGGGTCTCGTCCGAGTTCCCGCATATGGCGAAGCGTTTGCCTATTGAAAGGTGGCTTCCTGACTGCGCGGCACTCCTGCCTTTACTAGGTATGGTACCAGCCTACCTGCTACTTGAGTGTTTTCCCCGCTGTTCTGAGTATGCGGGTTTACCCCGCTGCCTTATAATTTTCCTGCCACGTCCCTTCGGGCCTACCGGTCAACCAAGTGCCATTGTGGGCCACACACATACTCAAGCCGACAGACACTCAGATAGGCACGCCGCACAACAAGTGCTCACGCACAGACTCGGAAACGGGCTCGGGCCATTGGGCGGACTGAGCCTTACTACCTTACAAATATCTGAGCTACCCCACTTTTTCCCGAAGTGGAAGTTAGCTTGGTAGGTCGAGGTGAAAACTTATAAGCACTAGACACAGGGATCGAGGCCTACCGCCCCGTTCAGCTAGGGAGCTCTAATTTTGTTGCCCGGTCTCAGACAGCCGGGACTCGGACCCACAACCTCATTATTAGAGTTAGTGCTAGTTTGGCCCGTTGAAACGGGGCATGACACTTGGCAAGTCGTGGTGGTTAGTAGTTAGATTTGCTTTTGTTTTTCCTTTAGTTATTTATTTTTATTTTGTCATTAGCTAGATTCGTTTCTTTTTATTTTATCAGATTCTTATTAATTCTAAAAAGTTTTCGATCCCGTATCTACTCCCTACAAAGTTTGCTTTAATGAATCTGCCTCGGATAGTCGGGCAGATTCGTTTCCAAACGAAGTCTGCCCGACTCCAGCCGACTTTGGCCTGCGGACTTCGGTTGCATGCTCGTCGGGCGACGCGGCAGGTGCGCAGCGAAGGGGAAGGATAGCGCATGGGCAGAGGTAGCAACACGGCGAACCCGGGCAAGCAGCAGAGTAGCGCTGCATATAGGCGGAGATAGAATGCGGCGAGGAAGAGAAAGCCACTGGAGCGCGGGGGTAGCAGAAAAGGAATTGCGCGGAGGGGAGGAAGATGGTCGCGCGCGCAGAGAAGTAGTATAGGAAGAAGACGGAGAAGAAGAAGAAAAAAGAAGAAGAAGAAGAAGAAGAAGAAGAAGAAGAAGAAGAAGGAGAAAGAAAGAAGGGGGAGAAAACGAGAAGGGAAACTCACCTGGCAAGCAATCAATGATGGCAAT